TTTCATTAATTAAATATTAATAATTATTAAAGCTAATTTGCTACAATATAATCTCAGAAAGAAAGATAGAAAAGCTGTCACTGGGGTGGCACAGTGGCTCAGTGGTTAGCACTGTCACTTAAAGCAAGAAGGTTGCTGGTTCGAGTCCTGGCTGGCTCAGTTGGCATTTCTGTGTGGAGTTTGCATGTTCTCCCCGTATTGGTTTGGGTTTCCTTCGGGTGCTCCAGTTTCCCCAACAGTCTAAACACATGCGCTATGGGGGAATTGAATAAACTAAAATTGGCTGTAGTGTATGAGTGAGTATGGGTGTTGCCCAGCACTGGGTTGCGGCTGGAAGGGCATCCACTGCATAAAATATATGCTGGATAAGTTGGTGGTTCATTTCGCTGTGGTGATCCATGATGCATAAAGAGACTACGCTGAAGGAAAATGAAAGAATGAATGAAGCTGTCTCTGGGGCAATACCTTTTCAAAGGTGCATTTTTTGTACACAGCTGTACATCAGTACCTTGAGAACAGTGTTTCCCAACCCTGTTCCTAAAGGCACAACAACAGTACATATTTCCAACCTCTTCCTATTCAAACACACCTAAATCAACTCATCAGAATATTAGAAGAGACTCCAAAACCTGAAATGAATGGGGCAGATAAGAGAGACATCCAAAATGTGTACTGTTGGTGTGCCTCCAGGAACAGGGTTGGGAAACACTGCTTTAGGATACACTTTTGTACCTTTAATGTGGTACAGATTTGTACTTTTTAGGTATTAATACCATTAAGGACCTATTCATTCATTCATTTTCTTGTCGGCTTAGTTCCCTTAATTACGCAGTAACTTTAAAAAAGTTACCACCAGATTTTGTACCTTTGATTCTGAGAATGTATCCGCTTGAAAAGTCAAAATAACTTTCTGAAACGAATTGTTAAAAGTAGTTGTTTGCTTAAAACAGCTATAAAAAATAAATTGAAATAAAAGGTAAAAAAGCCTCACAGCCAGAAGGTTGCTGGTTCGAGCCCCGGCTCAGTCAGTTGGCATTTCTGTGTGGAGTTTGCATGTTCTCCCCGTATTGGTTTGGGTTTCCTTCTAAATTTAATATTAAACTACAGAGGGAGTTGGATGGCAATGGACTGAGGATCCACATGCAGCTTTATTTGGAGTAGTCAGACAGGCAAAAGTCAAAACAAAATAGGGATAGTTGATGTAAAACTGACGTTTTGACAGTGTCGAGATCTCAAAGTGCAAGTGTTTCGAAACACTGTACTGAAGCATGATCTGAAACACCAAGGTCACGTGACTAAAGTGATTCGAAAGACGAAGGTCACATGACTTAAGTGATTCGAAACACCCAGGTCATGTGGCTAAAGCAATTTAAAGCATTGATCATTTCAGAAGCGTTTCAAGACCTGGCGTATTTGCATTTGACTGACAGGGTCGGTAAAAACTTCTCTCTTATGTAGCCTAGTAGACCATTTGTGTGCAGAGAGTAACTGTGCTGCAGAGTAACTGTCCAGAGTTCGAATTGTGCAAATAATCTGAAATTATAACTTGATGTATTTTAATAATGTCAATTTTTATAACCAAAACAAGACATATTAATTCCAAACATGTTTATTCGGATGTCAGACCAATGTTAAAACAAAAGACGTTATAAGAACAGAGCATTTAAAACTAATATCTATAGCTGCATCACCCTGGATTGAAACCCATTATCTCTGCATGCTAGTCAGGAACTCTCACTGCTCCACTAAATCACTTGAAACCTCAACTCTGCAATGTGGGCTCTAATTTCTTAATTTGCTTAACTGTTTCTTTACTGAAGATGTTCCAGAGCAATACATAAAATTGACCTCTAGGTATCCCTGTAGAGACTGGTTTCTAAACATTTCGACGCTTCGACACATTTACTTTGACTTTCAGTGTTTCAAGAAACCTCGCTTTGTCCAACACTAGAGCAAAAAAAAAAAAGCAGAAAGGTAATGCAAGAGCATAGTCAATAAAAGGCAAAAGGTCCAGCTAGGCGGCAAGGAATCAGGAACGGGTAAACAAGGCAAGGATCAAAACACAGCACCACTAGACAGCATTAACTCTTCGTAATAATACAGGATAACCACACAAGACTCAGCCCAGAGTGTGTGTGTAAAAGATCAATATAAAGCTTAGGTAATCAGTCCATGATGAGTTATTAGTTGTGTGTGTTTGTCATCAGCAGGTGAACTGCAACTGGTGTGTAAGTACAGGTATTATGGGATTTAGTTCATTTGGTGGCAGATTTGTAGCTTTCCGGTGATCTGCATGGGCTAGATTGCTGGTGATTGTGACAATTTTATTATTTCATGGTATTGTGCACCAGACTTTTGAATTGCTAACAACACTGCACATTATACCTTTGTTAGAACAAAAAAAGACCAAAAGAGAAACATACTAATTTACACTCACCGTCCACTTTATTAGGTACACCCTTCTAGTACCGGGCTGGATCCCTTTTTGCTTTCAGGACTGCTTTAATCCTTTGAGGCATAGATTTCACAAGGTACTGGAAATATTCCTCAGATTTTGGTCCACATTGACATGATAGCATCATGCAGCTGCTGCATTTGTCAGCTGCACATCCATGATGCAAATCTCTCGTTCCACCACATCACAAATATGCTCCATTGAGTACTGGTGACTGTGGAGGCCATCTGAGTGCAGTGAACTCATTGAAACCAGTCTGAGATGATTCACGCTTTATTACATGGCACATTATGCTGCTGGAAGTAGCCATCAGAAGATGGGTACACTGTGGTCATAAAGGGATGGACATGGTCAGCAATGGCAATGGTCAGACTTATCAGACCAGGCATCCTTTTTCCAATCTTCTATTGTCCAATTTTGGTGAGCCTGTGTGAATTGTAGCCTCATTTTCCTGTTCTTAGCTGACAGGAGTGGCACCCGGTGTGGTCTTCTGCTGCTGTAGCCCATCTGCCTCAAGGTTTGAAGTGTTTTGTGTACAGAGATGCTCTTCTGCGTATCTCGGTTGTAAAGAGTAGTTATTTGAGTTACTTCTGCCTTTCTATCAGCTTGAACCATTCTACTCTGACCTCTGGCATCAACAAGTGCATCTGTGCCCACAGAACTGCTGCTCACTGGATAGTATGCGAGCCGAGTAGTTTGTCCGAATTCAAAGAGTTCGAAAATCAGTATGCGAGAACTGCCCTGATGACTTACTTCTTCCGCCGAGATTCCGGAGTGCACATCCCATGCACGCTGCGCTATCCCTTGATGCCCCGCGAGAGAATTCATGAATGGATGTGAAGCGACGCAACTGACGCAGGTAGGTCACGTGACCATCACAAAATGGCGGATGTAGTACGTCCGAATACCATTCATAGTTTTCACATTCATATTAGCTGCGTCCCAAATGGCACACTATACACTATGCACTCATGCACTATTTACTTGTGCACTTACACACTCAAAAGTATAGTATATGAATGTAGTGGCATCCCAAATGGAGCACCAATGTTTTTTTACTGAGCGGAAATTCAAACCGTTTCCCTGATGACGTTTGACGGTTGCCAAATCAGTGAAATAAATGACCAAACTATCAAATAACACCTGCCATGAGTATAACTGCATTCACCATCGGGAGGCGCTATAATCAGTCTCATAGGAGAATTCTGTTTCACTATCCAAAATAAATAAAGTTATCCAACATGTGCGTCCGATAGCTCCGCCCCTTCTGCTACGTGAGCAAACCTGCGATCGTTGAGTGCGCGAAGTGTCCGTCATTACCCACTTCATTTTACCGGCTGAATGAGTGCATCATCCGGGTAATTAAAGTGCACTTATTATTTTTAAAGGTTTCAATGTGAACACACTACTTACACTGTTTATACTACAAAATGATGTAGAATAGTGCATAAGTATGCGATTTGGGACGCAGCTATTGTATAGAACATGCTTTTCTTAACGGCATGTTGAAATTCAAATACCTACTGAGTAGTAGTTGGTTTTATACGCAGCCCATGTCTACATGCCTAACTGCATTAAGTTGCTGCCATGTGATTGGCTGATTAACATTTGCATTAACGAGCAGTTGGACAGGTGTCCCTAATAATGTAGCGGGTGAGTGTATAGAAGATGTCATTCACACAATTACTAAACACCATAATGGTAACACACATAAATTTTAAATTCATGCATAAACACTATTTATCAACATTAGATGTACATAAATAATGAGAGAAAAAAAAATAAAAAGAGCCATAATGTCAACAAAAAGGCAAGTGTCATGCAGGGAACTCTGGGAAAGTCAGTTTACGGGTTATTAACCTTAAGGAAACTTACAGATTTTTACTGTAGCATATTTAGAGTTTAAAATTTAGCAATTTTTACAGTGTAGGACATGACCATGCATACATTAATCAAAAATAAGACTTGATATCAATATCAGATTAAAAACAGGGAAGACAAATAAACTAATTAAGAAATTCATTTGTGTTTGACGTAAACAGGCCAGTCCAAATTCCATCACCGTGAGCCGTGGGTGAATTAAAAGGAAGTTCAACATCAGTTTCCAGTTACACTTTATTCAGTTCTCATCTAGCTCTGCTGGTTGGCGTGTTACCAGTAAGACTTGTTTAAAAGTCAAGACGACTGCTGACAGGAGCGTCAAAAGAGTTGATGCGAGTGACTCAACTGCTGACATGTGTGAAAATGAAATGATGCGAGTCCATGACACCAGACTGTTTTGTTAAAGCAGTTCTCACATTATATAAGATGTTCACGTAGCAAGCCTATTTAGTGCATGTATACATATATATATCTAATAAATTCAAGATTTAGCGTCATTGCGATCATGAGTATACAGTTCAACAGCAAACACGTGACAGGTGAATCTAAATTCCAACCATTCTTTACTTTACCCAGACTGTGAATTTTAACCATTCCCTTTTGCAGGAATCATGACATTGCTGACATTTCCTCCATGAGATGTTAAAAGGCGTTCTCAGATTGTGAACAGTCAGTATCCATCAGCATGTCTTTCACATGTCTCCTCCTGGCCGGGCTTCTGCTGGCCTTCACCGTAACAGCCTCACAATATTATGGAGGATCAATGACCTTTAACCCAAGATTGGGCACTAATGGCTCGTACGAGGTGAGAACTATAAAGCTTTAAATGGATATACTTCTTGGATATACAGTTGAAGTCAGAATGATTAGCAGTCCTGTGATTTTTTTTCTTTTTAATATTTTCCAAATGATGTTTAACAGAGCAAGGAATTTTTCACAGTATTTCCTATAATATTTTTTCTTGTGGAGAAGTCTTATTTGTTTTATTTCGGCTAGAATGATAGTAGTTTTACATTTTTAAATACCATTTTATGGTCAATATTATTAAGCAAAATAGTTTTTCCATTGTCTACAGAACAAATAATTGTTATATAATGACTTGCCTAATTACCCTGACTTGCCTAATGAACCTCATGAACATAGTTACGCCTTTAAATGTCACTTTAAGCTGAATACTAGTGTCTTGAGAAATATCTAGGCAATTATTATGTACTGTCATCATGGCAGAGATAAAACAAATCAGTTATTAGAAATGATTATGTTTAGAAATGTGGGGAAATTTGGGGAAAATATACAGAGGGGCTAATAATTCTGACTTGAACTCTATATACATCTGGATTTATGTCTTGCATGGAGTAAGTTCACAATACTTACATAGATTAATTTTTTTAACTCAAAGGGTTTGTAGCAATCGGTTTCCTAAAACGGTTTGAGTTGCTTTAACTTATTGGGTTTTACAGTGCTCAGTTGGTTGAAGTTCTCTTCATTTAATAGGTTCTACTGTGCTCAGATTGCTTCATTTACTCAAATGGATTAAGCTCACAGCACTCATTAGGATTAGATTTCGAAATGTTTTTTTTTTTGCAATCGTTTTCCTCAAGTGGTTTGAGTTACCTTATCTTTTTGGGGTTTTATAGTGTATGCATTTTTATGCAGTTTTGAGATTTTTTTAGTAGCTGTGCCAACTTATTTTTAAAAGTTAGATTGAAGCTTAATATAATTAACTAAAAGTAGAACTTTGGTTATTTTAAGTGCCATTTATGTACTTATTTCAAAATAATAAGTACTAACTGTGTTCATATTGTATTGCAGAGTACTTAAGGGGATATTAAGTTGGGTTATTAGTAAAATGGTAATACTGCATTAGTAATTTAATTAAAAGCATTTTAATTACTGACTTGATTTCAGAAATTACTTGAACAACATTTGACACAGTGTTCATTGAAACTTGGTTGATCTGCTGGTTAATCCGGTTACCCAACCACACGATTTGCTTTTGTTTCACATCATAAATTCCATCTACAAAAAAAAAACAAAAAAAAACATTCGCTCACAATTCTGAGAAGTAAAAATACTTCTAATCATAATATATATATTTAAATATTTCCCGAATGATGTTTAACAGAGCAAGGAAATTTTCACAGTATGTCTGATAATATTTTTTCTTCTGAAGAAAGTCTTGTTTGTTAAATTTCGGAATTTTAGAATAAAAGCAGTTATATTTTTTTAAACAGGACAAAATTATTAGCCTCTTTACGCTATTTTTTTTCGACTGTCTGCAGAACAAACCATCATCACTTGCCTAATTACACTATCCTTTCTAGTTAACCTAATTAGCCTGGTTAAGCTTTTAAATGTCACTTTAAGCTGTATAGAAGTGTCTTGAAAAATATCTAGTCAAATATTATTTACTGTCATCATGGCAAAGATAAAATAAATCAGTTATTAGAAATG